TTTGTTTTTTATTTTTTATTTTTTTTTTATAAGATGGGGTTTCACCATGATAGCCAGGCTGGTCTTGAACGCCTGACCTCAGGTGGATCACCCCACCTCGGCCTCCCAAAGTGCTAGGATTACAGATGTGAGCCACTGTGCCCGGCGCATGGTTTTGTTCTTGACTGCCACACTGTGCCCTGCTCCCTGCCTTCCACTCACATGAAAGTAGCCATTCATGTTGAGGCCGACGATGCCAAAATGGTAGGATCGGGAAATGTCAGGGATGATGCACTCTCGGCCCCGGCGTTGTTCGGGCATCCGCATCCACATGTCCCAATCCCAGAGCTGGCAGACATGGACAATGAGGAAGATTAAGATGTTTCGAGTTCGTAGGGACTCCAGCCCCCTCACCCAACCCTGCCAGTTACCTTTTCCGGCGTAGGCCACTTGGGCTCAAGCTCCTCCTTGTACAAGGACCTCCTGAGCACCCAGCCCAGCCCAGGCATGGTCTCCACACGATACAGTAGTGCTGGGTCCTCAGCCGTGTGTTCATAACCCTGAGGACAGGGGCCATAGTGGGAGGTATTAGCTGAGCCCTCATAAACTCACTAGCTAACCCCTGGCCATTCCAGCCTACCTGGTCATTCCAGGCAGAGATGCAGTACAGGCTGTCATCCTCCTCCAGCAGGTGGATAGATTGGCTCAGGAAACTGAGAGGCAGGGTCAAAGAGTTCAGGGAGAGGCAAGGATAAATCTAGTCACACGGAGATGCTGGAAGAGCTGGAGCTGGGTCTCAGGAGCGTACCTCCTTCCCCCAAATCTCCACTGTCTCCATTCATCCACTCTACCTTCAACACCAGCCCCAACACCTGCCATCCTACCTTTGCTCAGGCTTTGCCCCCACTTTGAGCTCATGTCCTCCAGAAAGCTCTCCAGGACACCTCACTGCCTGTTTGCCTGCAGACCGAGGAACCTCATCTGAAACCTAGAGTCTCCCCTCACCTGAAAAAATCCACAGCGATATCCAGGTCCTCTTCTAGAACCACAGCAAACTTGGCCTCCTGGAAGAGGAATGGAACATCATGGTCCCAAGAGGGTCTCTCCATCTGGTGGTCTCCTTTGCACCCAACCCTCTTCTTGCAGGCAGCATTACCCCCATTTTCCAGATGTGAAGGATGAGGCCCAGTGAGGGGAACAGCTTGCCACATAACAGGCCCAGACCCTATGCCCATGTTTCTCCGCCCCAGGCCCAAGAGTTGTATCCTTAGTACTCACCGGAAAGAGGTTGAAAGTGGCAGTGAGGCTGGCCTTGTAGTGCTGGGAGCAGGGTAGGAATAGGGCACATGAGCTTTAGGGTAGAAGGCACAGCCAGGTGTCTGCCCCATCCCCGCTTGCCTATGCAGTACCTGAGACACGCGGGCATTCTTGATGCTGATGGGGGTATGCTGGATGCCCCTCAGACCAAACAGTGCCACCACATCCATGGGTTCCTGGGGGACACGGCCACTGGTCACCATGTGAGGTCACTTTCTCCTGCCCGCCTCCGCAATCCAAGGCCTTCACATTTCACAGCCCTTGCCTGGGCAGTCTCCCTTGCCCGCCCCTGGCAATCACTGCTGCTCCACACCTGCAGCCCTGTGTTGTCGTGTTGTGTTCCACCTGAGGTCCCCTGAAGCCCTACTTACCTCATAGTAGCCATCGATGAAAACGGTTATCATCTGGGGAGACACCCCCTGGGCTGAAAGCAGAGAGCGCAGCATCCTGGGGAGCCCAGGGATAGGTTAAGGTCTCTTCATTCCCCCTCAACTCAGGCTCCCCTGTGTTTACAGCTGGGCCCAGATTCTCCATGCTTACCCACAGAGGTGAATAGGTCTAGAATCTGTTGTCTTCCTGCCCACCTCAAGAGTTCCTCCTGGAGGTAGATGACCTAAGCGCCCTCCCACTTACTAAGCACCCTCCTGTTCAGTGCTGGAGACAGCCCACTCCCAGGCTTACCTGTACAGGTAATTGGGTCGGTTTCCTGCAATGACAGCCACAGGCACATTGAGGACTTTGTTGTCTGGGAGCTGTGGGAGAAACATGTTTAGCTCTTGCCTTACTCCCCCTTCAAACGGGGATCCCCACCTAGGGAAGAGTTCTCGAGTGAGGGTAGGTACAGACGAGCAGACAGGGAAGGAAGAGAGAATCTTCCCTGTTGTGGCTTCTCCACACACTCAGCCCAACTCCAACGCTCAGCTTTGCTTACATGGCCTGCCCCTTCACCCCAGCCCTGTCTTGCAGAGTGCAGTGTAAATCCTGCTCCTGGTTCCCTCCCAGGCTGGGGTACAGAAAGCCCAGCCTAATCTTTCCTGGGGCCCCCTTGCTGAGCTGGGAAGGGGGCCCTCACTGCCTAGGGCCCCACTCACTGGGTCAGGGCTGAACTCGATGGGTGTGGGGTCCTTGCAGCTGCATACACTTCCATAGCCCTCAACTTTGCTGCAGAAGCGCCGGCGGCGACGGTTCAGTTCTGTGTCTGCCCAGTGGCACTCTGCCTCTGAGGGAAGGATGTGGTTGACATGGAGGCATAGGGCTAGCACAGTCTAAAGAGCCCGAGGCACACAATCAAAGAAATAAAGCACCACTAGGAGGACCTAAATGCCCACCCCCAGCCCAGGCCCTGCCCCATCCAGGCTCCACTAACTCTACCTTCTGCTGAGCTCAGCGGCACATCTGTCTTCAGCAGGACTGGGTCCCCCCAGGAGGAGAGGGCAGGCGACTTAGAATGTTTCTCCCCAAGGACAGGACCTGGCAGGAGGCAGGAATGAGGGCTCATGGGGACCCAGACACCAGCTTGGGGGCTTTTTTCCATCTCCCTGCCTACTTTCATCCAACCCACTACCACTGGCTCCTATGTATTCCCCACCCCACCCCACCTCCTGGGGTTCTGCTCCTCCCGGGCCCTTGATACTATAGAGTGGATGGCCTCTGGTGCCGGCACCTCCTTTTCGTCCCACGAAGGCCCATGTGTCCCTCCAGCCCAGGGCAGGGCCAGCCTGGCTGCCCAGGCTCCTCAGCAGAGCCTTGGCCGTGTCCTTGAGGTGGAAGGAGCCCTCGTCCTGGGGGCCAGAGAAGGCAGTTAGGCTGACTGGCAAGGTTCCAGGAGACCTGACCTCACAGAGCACCAGCTATGTGGCAACCTTTTACTTAAATAAGCTCATTACATTATCACAATAACCCTCTATGATTACTCTCTTTCTCAGATAAAAAATAATAACTGAAGGCTTAGAGAGATCTGAGTCATCTGAGGTCATCCAGCTAATAAGTCCTTTCCACAAACCCACACGATCTGCACCTCTCTCTCCCTCCACCTCTCTACCTTCTTTTCCCACCACTCCTATTCTCCTCCCTTATTCTGCTCCACCTCGACTGGCATCTTTGCTCTTCCTCAAATGTGCCATGTACCTTCCCACTTGAGGGGCTTTGCACTTGCTATTCTTTCCACCTGGAATGCTCTTCGTCCAGGTAGTCAGCTGGCTCACTCCTCACTTCCCCAGCTTTCTGCTCACATATCATTTCCTTGCAGGGGCCTTCCCTTTCTAAAATGTCCCCCATCATTCTGGATCCCCTGCTTTATTTTCTTCTTTATGTAAGTTATCATTTACTAGCATTACACACATTTACTTGGCTGTTTTTTGTAGACCTCCCACTGCTAGAATGTAAGCTCCATGAGGGTGGGGAATGTGTCTTGTTTCCCATTGCACCTTCAGCACCCAGAGGAGTACCTGCCATAGAGTTGTTGCTCAATAACTATTTGCTGAATTAATAAAAATGTTAAGGCTAAGATTGGAACCTGAGTGACCTTCCTTCAGAGAATCTTCCCTTATGTTACATGAGAGGCAGAGAAGCCGGGGCTATGAGCAGGGTTGGAGCCAGGGAGTAGGGCTCAGGGCCAGGGCTGAATCACTGACCTTGACAGTACAGATGAGCACTCGGCCGGGCGCAACCATGTTGAGGAACAGCACCATGGCCTCATCCTCATGAGGTGAGTATGTGTCAAACACACGTTTTGCCATCACGTGGCCCTGGCAGGGGATGCACCTCTGGTGAGTTGGTATCATCAGCAAGAAGAGCCCAGCTCCAGCCCTCTGGGTCACCCACCCCTAGAAACTCACCGTGGCCTGGTTGAGGACAATGACATGGATGCCCCGGCCCTGCTCCCGGGCCTCATCCTCCAGCACCTATACAGTGGCAGAGACAAAGTCCAACTTTTCACTGACATTCAAGGTGTCTCTGTCATGAGGGTACTTAAAACACCAGCTGCTTGAAACCTCACTTCCTGCCTATGCTTCTGTTCACATAGCTCTTTTCCAACTCAGCTTGAAGGCCATCTCTTCCAGAAAGCCTCTATGGCACTCCCATTGGAAGAGATCACGTCTTTCTACAACCCTCCCCTCCATGACTTTCATGGCTCTTACAGCCTTTGCTGTCTCTGCTTCATCCTGGAGGTATCGGAATCCTCCATCAGACTGAACTCCTCAAGGTAGGGCCAGGTCTCATTACTTCCAGGTCCCCAGTGCCCAGCACAAGGCTGAAGCCAAAGAAGGGACCAGGGAATAGTTATAAAATAAATCAGCCGGGCGTGGTGGCTCACGCCTGTAATCCCAGCACTTTGGGAGGCCGAGGCGGGTGGATCACGAGGTCAAAAGATCGAGACTATCCTGGTCAACATGGTGAAACCCCGTCTCTACTAAAACTACAAAAAATCAGCTGGGCATGGTGGCGCCTGCCTGTAATCCCAGCTACTCAGGAGGCTGAGGCAGGAGAATTGCCTGAACCCAGGAGGCAGAGGTTGTGGTGAGCCGAGATCGCGCCATTGCACTCCAGCCTGGGTAACAAGAGCGAAACTCCATCTCAAAAAAAATAAAAAATAAAAAATAAAAATAAATCAATGAATTGACTGCCTACTATTATGAATGATTGCTTTTGACATCCCACTATATACATATAAGACACTTCACAAACTTTTTGTTTAATCCTGACAAGTAGAAATCATTAGTCTCAGTCTATAGTTAAGAAATTGAGGACTCCAAAGCCCCAGAGGTGGAAATTGGCAGAGTTGCAGTTCCCACTTAGGCAGTAGACCCTGCAGCCAGTGGACCATGCCCTGAGCAGAATGGAGTGACTATACACCAGACCCTGGCCCACTGACCGTGGTGCCATCCACTGCCACATATACTTTGCTGCGACTTGAGTACACCTCTACGTCCAGGACCCGCCGGGGACCGCTGCCTCTGCGCCTTGGGGGCTCCAGGCGGCCTAAGGCCTCATCTGTGGGGTGCAACAGGTCATGGAGATAGTCTCCCCAGCAGAGTGTCACCCGTTGGGGTCTGCCTGCCACTCCAGCTGTGAGATCCAAGGCCCTCCCACCCCATCCTCAGCTTGGCCCCACCATAGTCTTGCTCTGGCTCTGGGTCCTCATTGGCTTCACTGATGGCTCGCCGAGTGTCCAGGATCAACTTGATATTGACAATGACAGTCACCAGCAGGAAAAGAACGGCCCCTGTCTGAGGGGAGGGGTAGGGATGATTAAGAGGAGCACCTCCTTCAGCTCCTAGAGGATCTTTCTGAAAGGAGGGCCCTGGCTGCAGTGAGGACATCCAGAGAACCTAGGACCTGTCTCTTCCTCTGTCTGCCCAGCTCTGCTCCCCTGACCAGGGCCTAGTTTCACAGCCACCTTCCCCAGGGAACCTTCCCTGACCCTTCCCCCTCCATTAGGGCCCTCCCTACCCAGTGCTCCTGTATTCTTCCACTTGAGACCTTGGTTTCAAATCTCATTGATTTCCTTGGTCCTCTCCATTGTTGGTTTCTAGAGATAGAGCCAGGCCCAGAGAACCAAGCTGGGAATCAGACCTGGGTCCTAGCCCTAACTGCCTCACAGGGGTGTGTGCCTCTGGGCAAAGCTGTCCTGATCAGACTTCAGGCTTCCGGTTCAGAAGCTTAGAAGTTGTACTTGGGTTCCGATTCCACAACTCTGGGTTCAAACCATTACCTACAGGGACAAGACATATAGAGGTCTCCCCTCTAGGAACCTGCTGCCCCTTTCCAACTGGGGCTGGCCAAGGTAGGTCCCACTGCCTGGTTTAGGTGGGGAAGAAGCTGGGAGGGAGCCCTTGGTGGGGAGGGTTTGAGATATCTCTATACCTGACAGAATCTCCGCAGAGCCCGCTGGTTTGTCAGTTTATACTTCCAGGTAAGGTACCAGCTCCGTTTCTTCCGAGCCCCAAAGGGCTTGATGAGGGGGCTGGGCTTCCAGTCGTCCATGCCGGATTGGCGGGTCACCAATGTCCTGGGCAGCCCATGCCTTCAGGAATCTGATGGGATCAGAGGGCCACATAGGGTAAGGTGGCCCTCCCAAAGTCTGATGCCTTCTGGAGAGATGAGGGAGGACCTCCCAGCAAGTCTTCCCTGCAAGCACCCATACTGTGTGACATGGGGAAAGTGGTTCAACTTCTCTGGGCCTGACAAGAAACCCTTCAAAGGGGTTGGATCACCTGGAAATTCCCTGAGACTGGAGTAACTCTCTGAATCAAGGCTGTCCAGGGGTGGAGGCCAAATAATCTGCTCAAAGTTCATTAGCCCCTACAAGGACCAAGCCCCAGGCCTCCCCAAGCCTGTGGTGGGCAAAGAGCGACCTCTCCTGCCCCAATCCTCCACCCTCATCCCATCCTAGCTGGCCCAGCTTCTCCTCCCAGGGCCCGGAGCCGCCCGAGGGCTCGGGAGACCGGCACGGTCAGCGCTACCCCTCCCGGACCCCCACGCTGAGGCACTCACGGCTTAGGGGCCCCGGGCCCCGCTCGGGCCCCGCTCGGGCCCGCATTGCTCGGCCCTGCGCGCCGCGGCCTCCGCCTCCTCCATGCCGCTCGCGGCCCCGCCCCGGCCCGGCGCGCCCCCCCGCTTCCGCCGCCGCCGCCGCCGCCGCCGCTGCCGCGGGGTGAGAGGGCGACGGGCGGCGCTTAGGGCGGCGGCGGCGGCGGCAGCGGCGGGGTGTCCGCAGCCAGGGAGTAAGGAGCGTGCTCAGACCTTGCTCCGCAGCTTCGCAGCCCGGCTGGCGGGTGCTGCTGCCTGCACGAGAGCAGCCCGTTCCCCCGCACCGCTGATGGCAAACCCAACTCCAGTCAGAGGCCTAGGACCTTAGACCTAGATCACAGGGCACGCCAGGGTCAGAGGGGCTGCAAGCCTTCGGCACAGCACACACACCACCCGCCCCATACCCCTCCTGGGCAAGGCCGGTACCTGGGCCTGGGGCATGCACAGCCATTGGAGGCCAAGGGAGATTAAAATCCAGGTTCTGCCGCTGTGCTAAGCAGTTTACTGATGACGTTTAATTCCACAGCAACCCCATGAGGTAGGCGCTATTATCATTATTTCATTTTTTTTTCAATTGAGACGGAGTTTCGCTCTGTTGCCCAGGCCGGACTGCAGTGGCACCATCTTGGCTCAGTGCAGCCTCTGCCTCCTGGATTCAAGCGATTCTCCTGCTTCAGCCTCCTGAGTAGCTGGAACTATGGGCGTGCACCACCGCACCCGGCTAATTTTTGTATTTTTGGTAGAGACGGGTTTCACCATGTTGGCCAGGCTGGGTCTGGAACCCCCGACAGCAGGTGATCTGCCGGCCTCGGCCTCCCAAAGTGCTGGGATTACAGCCGTGAGCCACTGCGGCGGCTATAGGCGCTATTATTATCCCTGTCACAGATAAAGAAATGAGACCCAATGTCACAAAGCTGGAAGAGGTGGAATTGAAACCCAGCCTGGCTCCAGATTCTGCTCTTAACCACTCACTGCACTCTACTGGCAACAATACTTAAGAGTTGCCAGGTTTAAATAACATCATACATAGAAAGCACTTAGCTTAACACAATGGTTCTCAAACTTTAGATTGCATCAGAATCACCTGGATGACTTCTTAAAACAGAGGTGCTGGGCCAGTCCCTAGAGTTTTAGATTCTGTGGTCTGGGGCAGGGTGGGATTTTGCATTCCTAACAAGTTTCTACCTGATGTTGATGTTTGTTTGAAGTCAGTGGGTAGCCATAGAACAGTTTTAAGCAGGGGAGAAATATAATTCCATTTATTTTTAAGAGAACCTTTACTTTATTTGTGGAGAATGGTTTGAAAGGAGACTGAGGAAGCCAGAAGACCAGTTAGATTTTTTTTGAGCTTTCCATATTCCATCTGCTTCCTGAGTGGTGGAGTGATATCCCCCACAATGTTAACAGTACTTGTCTTAGGAGTTAAAGAAATAGATGATTTTTCTTAGTTAAGTATGTATAAGAATAGAAAAAAACCCAACACATTTTATTAGCATTTGAAAAAGATGTGCTGGCTGGGCACAGTGGCTCACACCTGTAATCCCAGCCTGTAATCCCAGCAGTTTGGGAGGCTGAGGTGGGCTGGTCACTTGAGGTCAGGAGTTTGAGAGCAGCCTGGCCAACATGGTGAAACCCCATCTCTACTAAAAATACAAAAGTTAGCTGGGTGTGGTGGTGGGCTCCTGTAATCCCAGCTACTCAGGAGACTGAGGCAGGAGAATCGCTTGAACCCAGGAGGCAGAAATTGCAGTTGAGATCGCACCACTGCACTCCCGCCTGGGTGACAGAGCAGTAGTCTGTCTCAAAAAATTAAATTAATTAATTAATTAAAAGATGTCCCTTAGGGTTTCTTTCTGACCCTCTTTTCTCCTCAAACTCACTCTTCATGGATGATATCATTCTCTCATGACCTCTGTTACCAATCTAGATTCCCAAACTGACATTGGCAGTTCTAACCTCTTTCCTGAGCTCCAAGGTGCCTGATGTCCAGCAGGGCATCTTCACAGCCCCCTCTAACACACGAGCACAACTGCTGGAATCATTTCCTTTTACTCCTAGATCTCTTGAGGGCTCCCCTCCTCAGTGAACTGCACCAGGCCAAAGAGCTGGGAGTCACCCTTGACTTCTTGTCTGTCTCCAGTGACCAGTCGAGGTATGTCTTCCTCACCATTGTATTCTCTACACCACACACAAAGGGTGGCACATAGTAAGCTCTCCAGAACATTTGTTGAAATTATTCATTTGTATTTTTTAACAAATTTTTATTGAATGCCACTATAAATGAATGTAGACAGTCACCTAGTCCTGTCAGTCTTACCTCCTGAAGGGCCTTCCATTCTAGTCTAATTCTTCTCCAGCCTCACAATCAGCCCCTGGTGTAGCCCATTTCAGTTTCTTGCTTTCCAACCAGTCTCCTTGACTCTAGATTTTTACTCCTCCCATTCATTTCTCCTTGCAAAATCCAGAATGATTTTTTTTTTTAAAGGCAAATGTTGCTGGGTGCAGTGGCTCATGTCTGTAATCCCAGCACTTTGGGAGGCCAAGGCAGGCAGATCAACTGAGGTCAGGAGTTTGAAACTCGCCTGGCCAACATGGTGAAACCCCATCTCTACTAAAAATACAGAAATTAGCTGGACGTGGTGGTGGGTGCCTATAGTCCCAGCTGCTTGGTAGGCTGAGGCAGGAAAATGGCTTGAACCAGGAGGCGGAGGTTGCAGTGAGCCGAGATCATGCCATTGCACCCCAGCCTGGGTGACACAGTGAGACTCCATCTCAGGAAGAAAAAAAAAACATATATATATATATATATATATGCACACACACAGTATATATATATATATATATATATACACACACACATGTTGCCAATGGGGGAAAGGAACTACAGAGTGTGAGTGAAATCCATATATCCACATTTATCTAAATAGGATAATAAAGAGAGATGAATATTTAAAATTGAGAAGTAGTGTGGCTGAGCACAGTGGTGCACTCCTATAGTCATAGCTGCTTGCTGCTTGGGAGGCAGGAGGAGTGCTTGAGCCCAGGGGTTTGAGTCCAGCCTGGGTAATATAACAAGACCCTGTCTCTAAAAAAGGAAAAAAAGCAGTGGTAGGATTTACAATGAGAAGATAGTTACTCCTACCCTACCCTTTCACATCTCTAGGCCCACTCCCAATTAGCAACCACTTTTAGTTAACTTTAAACACTAAAGTTATGGATATGAACACCCCAAAAAATAAATAAACAACTGAAAGTTATTTTTTGCCAATTGGGAGTGGGTCTGGAGGTATGAAAGGTAGGGCAGGAGTAACTATCTTCTCATTGTAAATCCTTCTGCAACCATGGGCTGGAATTTCTTGAATTAAAAGACCAAACAAACCAAAGTTTTCATGGCTGTTCATTGCCTGTTAAATAAAATCCACACATCTCAGAACCATCTTCTGTAACCTTGTTACTCAAAGTGTGGTCCCTTATTACTTGAAGTGTGGACCAGCAGCATGGCCATCACCTGAGAGTTTATTAGACATGCAGGATCTTGGCCAGGTGCAGTGGCTCACACCTGTAATCCCAGCACTTTGGGAGTCTGAGGCAGGTGGATCATTTGAGGTCAGAAGTTCAAGACCAGCCTGGCCAACATGGTGAAACCCTGTCTCTACTAAAAATACAAAAAAATTAGTCAGGCACGGTTGCATGCCTGTAATCCCAGCTACCTGGGAGGCAGAGGCAGGAGAATCGCTTGAATCCAGGGAGGCAGAGGTTGCAGTGAGCCAAGATTACGCCACTGCACTCCAGCCTGAGTGACAGAGCCAGACTCTGTCTCAAAAAAAAAAAAAGAAAAAAGAAAGAAAGAAATGCAGGATCTCAGGCCCACCAAATTTACAAAATTCAGAATCTTCATTTTAACAAGATCCGCAGATAATGCATATGCATTCAAGCTTGAGGAGCATCTTGCTTGTAAGCCCAATGTGGACCTCTTCAGCTTCGTTATTGGTTGCCCCTTTCTACTCCGTTAGTCTGAATTCTAGCCCCTGTGGTGTGTGTGTGTCTAGCTAAAATCCAGCCGCCGCCGTTTTAGAGCCAGTTCCTCTACTCCAAGAAGACTTCCAAGACCTCTGCAGCTCTCGGTTACCACTGTTCCTTAAACTCCCACATCTCTGACTGACTGAAGCTGCTTAGGCTTCATTCTGCAAACGTGTATTGGGCGCCTGCTGTGTGCCTGGCTGGATTCAGTGCCAGGATGGGGTGAAGGCGCTGAGGTCTCCGAGTGCTCTTTCAGGTTCAAATCCAGAAACGACCAGCCGCACGCAATCCGGGGCCAGAGGTTGTGTGCGCAGCACTCAAATATATATCTACAGGCGGTGCTGCGCGGCTTTTCTGAGTGTTACGGCGCCCTCCTCCCGCCCCCGCGCCGCGCGGGCGGGGACCCACCGGTTCTGCTCCGCATTAGCTTCGGCAAAGGGAGGACTCCCGGGAGCCGGTCCCGGGCGTCCAGTCGCCCAACCCTTTTCAGGCTTGGGCCCGCATGGAGGGGACCGTGGAGTCCCAGACGCCTGATCTGCGGGATGTAGAGGGTAAGGTGGGCAGGAAGACCCCTGAAGGGCTGCTACGCGGGCTGCGAGGCGAGTGTGAGCCGGGAACCCCTGGCACCCTGCTGCTCCCAGGGGCGCCTAGCACCGGCCACGGCTTGGGGGACAAGATCATGGCGCTGAAGATGGAGCTGGTGAGTGCAGACTCCATGAACCAAGGGGACGAGTCCCCAGTGTAGGGCCGGGAGGGACAAACTCACGCTCCCAAGTTAGGCTGGAGAGGAGGTGGTTAAAACTCTCCATCTAACTGCTCAGAATCCCTCCCAGATCAATCCGTAAGCGCTGGGGTGGAGGTGGAGTGACGTCCATTAATTGTCCCCCAAGAGTGAGTGGGGTGTTGATGGGTCCTGAGGACTTGGGGGTGGGAGACAGTGGTTCTTGGAAGTTATTCCTGCCAAATAATTGGGAGGAGCGAGATGAGGACTGGGAAGTACCGAGAACCCAACGCAGCACAAATTCCCCCCCGCCCGTCTGGGCCACCTATTCCCCGCCAGTCCCCGTTG